CCTCTGCTGTAGAAAGAGGCCAATGGAGCATTTATTTACCTTTGGGTAGGGAAATAAGGCGGTGCCTCCTGTGATATTATCCCAAGGGTGAGAGGTGCCCCGATACGGCCTCAGGCATGCATGATGGAGAAAACAGGTCTCCGGTGCCACTCCTCACAATCTCCTATCCCGGGCACTGGACACAGGCGTCTGGCGCTGGGCTGTGCCCTTGCCTAGGGCAGGGACTATACTGTCTTCTTATCTCTCTGCTGCCAGCATGGAGCATGACCCAAAGCAGAAGCCCAGTCAGTGTTCTTTGTGAAATTGCAAACCTGTGTCCCCGGGGTCATGAGGACTATCCTGAGCTCCTCTAGTATGTGTTCACATTAGTGCTGGAAAACCGGGAGCTCAGATCCATGCAGTGAGGGAGGGACTTGTTGCAGGCCCTGGCTGCCAATTACAGGCTCAGGTTCCCTGTGGGAGTGGAATCATCTGGAAGATCTGGTTTTCCTCTTCATGTGGGTGCCCCTTCCTGGAAGCTGTGTGAGTAAAACCAAGTCTTTGGTCTTTCCCTCTTTCTCCAGGTGATATTGGTGGTCAGATGGGATTGTTTATTGGTGCTAGTATCCTTACAATACTAGAGCTCTTTGATTATATTTATGAGGTAAGATTTGGGATTGCTCCTGGGGAAATGCTGGTGTGCTGGTGCCCTCATTCTGCCCGATGTTCAGAGCAAAGCAGGGAGGCTCTGGGCTCTCTCCACGCACAGCCTTCTTTCTCTCCCTGCCCACTGATGTTATTCATCAAAAGACCACTGCATCTCAGGCCCAGGGGGAGACATCAGAGAAAACAAACTCATAGTCCTATTCTCAGGGGGCTTGAAGACTGGGGACTATACACTGGCAGGGAGGAAAGGAAAGGAAAAAGAACAAGGGAGAAGACTGTGCTACGGCCAACTCTGAGTCCTTACCACAGCGAGGCCAGTGGGGCAGCCTCATACACAGTATGCCCATATCCATATATACACACACCACATGGAGATCCACATACCATCCACACATACACACATCACATGTACATGCAGATATACCACACATGCATGCATGCACACTACACATACATGTACATGCTCCATATGTACATAAGCACACCACACATATACACACACCACACATATACACACTGCAACACTCATACACACACACCACACATATACACATACACCACATGTACACATACCACACACACAGCAAATATATGTACACACCACACATACATGCACATGCATACCATATACATGCACACACCACATATACATCTATATATCACACACACATATGCATACAACACACTACACATATATACACACACCACATGCACATGCACACACATCACATGCACATAGAACACATGCACACACCAAGTAATACACAAACCACACATAATGTACATGCATACCACGTGTACATGTATACATGCCACACATACCACATACACATACACACGATGCAAAAACACACATACCACACAAACATACACATACACCATGTGTACATACACACACACGATGTGTACATACACACACACGATGTGTACATACACACACACGATGTGTACATACACACATACTGCACACATGCACGGGCACACACACCTGCCCTTGGGGTGGCCCTTCATTCGAATAGTGTCTTCCATGATGGAGCCAGTCTTACTTAGGGAAGGGGCATTTCCCGGCAGTCTTCATTAACCCTGAGGGAGAATACAACAGGGCACAGTGGCTGTCTCTGATCGCTACAGTCCGGGGTGATGTCTTCCACTAGGGGCAGCTGGAACAAAGCTCTGAAAGTTTCTCAAAGAATGGACAGGAGCTTCTGGCATTAGAGTTCCTGGGGCTGGCCAGCCTGCCCAACTGCATCTCCCCAGAATCCAGACTGAGAGTGGGTGAGCTCCCAGACCACTCTAGAGACGAGGCTGAGCAAAGAGCTCCTGCAAGGCAAAGCCAGCCCCCTAAAGAACAGTGCTGAGCTGAGAGGGCTAACCTGAACCAGGAAGAACAAACCCATGGGTAGGTCCATCCCAGGCTCTGCCTGACCCCAGTACTTGCTTGGGGACCTCTAGCTCCTTGGCTGAGAGGCAGTGCACTCCACCACCACCCCCTTGTGCCTCCCTGAAACAAGCAATGGCTCCAGAATTCCTAACACCCCACACACACACACATAACCTTACAAAGTGCCCTGAGACCACCTGACTATATGCCAAGGAAGTGGAAGATTTCAGAACAGTATTCTGCCTCCCAGAAAGGGCTGTTTGTGGCCCAAACTCTCTGAGAATCTGTCTAAGGCCTATAGGACCCCTGTGATCAGGGTCCTCTGAGCCCTACCCCCTTCCTCTCAGCAGGGTGACTGTGCTCCCCAAACCCAAAACAGGTCTCATGTACAAATTTTATTTGGCTTTGTGATTAATTTTTTGTGAAAAGCTATACAGAGTTATGAACAGTTATGTACAGGTAGTATATTTAATATCTAACCTGTATTGCTGAGAATAAAATGTTATAAATTCACATGTGACCTGAACCTGTGAGCTGGAGTCACCAGGTCTAGAAAGTGAATAGCTTTCTGGTCCCCTAGTCCCAGCCTCAGAAAGGGGGTCCCAGGCTGCTCCTGAGGACAGACAGAGAGCCAGTCCATACTTACCACTTGTCCACGCTCCCCATCTCCAGGAAAAAACAATCCAAGCTATGAGAGTGAGTTCTCCCATTACTTCTTCCAAGTATATCTCCTGCAGAAAATCCCATTCCAGCCAAAAGATTGGACAGACGGGCTCCTGGAGCTACCTGGCTGTTGGCATAGTTTGTCCTGCACACCTCCTGGGCAGATGCTTCCTCTGTAGGTCCCCAGCCAAGCCAAGTGGAGGGATGCCCCTCTACTTTTGCACCATTCTCAACTGCCTAACAAACCCCTTCCCACCTTCCTTGCAGCTGATCAAAGAGAAGCTATTAGACCTGCTTGGCAAAGAGGATGATGAAGGGAGCCACGATGAGAACGTGGTAAGATTGGCTCATTGGTTTTGGGTTGGTTTGCTTCTCTGGCTTGGACAAGCAATATGAAACCAGATATTGGGGCCAGGGCAGGAGGGACGTGTCTTGCTGCCTACATGTCCATAATTTATAACATCCAGTGACCTCCCAAGTTCCAGGACACCTCAACTGAGCCTTGATCCTCTCTCTGAGACTCATCCTAAAAGATACTGAGTAAGCTGTGGATGCAGCTGACACCAGAGTGATGCTTCCAAGGGTAGGTCCTGCCTGTCCCAAGCCAGCTTCCCCAGGCCAGTTGGCTACTCCCCTCCTCTCAGGGCCTTGGGAGAATAAGAGAAGCTCTATATAGTCTGCTCCACCCACCCTCTATTGTTGTTAGGTGCCATCGAGTCAATTCTGACTCATAGTGATCCTTTGTACGAGAAGACACTACCCTGTCCTGCACCATCCTCACAATACTTGCTGTGCTTGAGCCCATCAACACAGCCACTGTGTCAGTCTGTCTCACTGAGGGTCTTCCCCTTCTTCACCGACCCTCTACTTCACCATGATAGCCTTCTTCAGACAATGGTCCCTTCTGACAATATGACCAAAGTAGGTGAGACGAAGTCTGGCCATTCGCATTTCCAAGGAGCATTCTGGCTGCACTTCTCCAGGACAGATTTGTTAATTCTTCTAGTCCATGGTATTTTCAGTATTCTTCACCAACACAACAATTCAAAGGCATCAATTCTTTAATCTTCCTTATTCATTGTCCAGCTTTCACATACATATGAGGTGATTGAAAATACCATGGCTTGGGTTAGGCACACTTTAGTCTTCAAAGTAACGTCTTTGCTCTTCAACGTCTTAAAGAGAGAGGTCTTTTGCAACAGATTTGCCCAATGCAAAGAAAAAAAAAACACTGCCATAATATAGTCAATTCTGACTTATAGCAAGTACCATAGGATTTCCAAGGCTGTAAATCTTTACAGAAGTAGATTGCCTCATCTTCCTCCCACAGAATGGCTGGTGGGTTTGAACCACTGACCTTCTAGTTAGCAGCCAAACACATTACCCACAGCACCACCAGAACTCCTGCCTAGTGTAATACAACATCTGATTTCTTGACTGCTGCTTCCATGACTGTTGATTGTGGACCCAAGTAAAATGAAATCTTTAACAACTTTAGTTTTCACTGGGCCAGTTGTGAGGATTTTTGTCTTCTTTATGTTGAGGTGTAATCCATACCGAAGACTGTAGTATTTGATCTTTATCAGTAAATGCTTCAAGTTCTCTTCGCTTTCAGCAAGGAAGGTTGTGTCGTCTGCATATAGCAGGTTGTTAATGAGTCATTCTTCAATCCTGATGCTGCGTTCCTCTTCATATAGTCCAGCTTTTCAGACTATTTGCTCAGCATACAGATTGAATAATTATGGTGAAAGGACACAACCCTGACACACGCCCTTACTCGTTTTAAACCATTCTGTATCCCTTTGTTCTGTTCAAATGATAGGTCTATATGCAGGTTCCTTATTAACACAATTAAGTGTGGAATTCCCATTCTTTGCAAAGTTATCCATAATTTGTTATGATCCAAACAGTCAAGTACCTTAGCATAGTCAATAAAACACAGGTAAATATCTTTCTCGTATTCTTTGCGTTCAGCCAAGACCCATCTGACATCAACAATGATATCCTTCATTCCACATCCTTTTCTGAATCCAGCTTGCATTTCCGGAAATTCCCTGTAAATATACTGCTGCAACCGTTTTTTAATAGCTTCAGCAAGATTTTACCTGTATGTGATATTAAAGATATTGTTCAATAATATCTGCATTCTGTTGCATCACCTTTCTTTGGAATGGGCACAGATGTGGATCTCTTCTAGTCGGTTGGCCAGGTAGCTATCTTGCAAATTTCCTGGCATAGATGAGTAAGCCCCTCCAGAGCTGCATCCATTTGTTGGAACATCTCAATGTTCCATCAATTCCTGGAGCCTTGTTTTTTTGCCAATTCCTTCAATGCACCTTAGACTTCTTTCTTCAGTACCATTAGTTCTTGATCATATGCTACCTCCTGAAATGATTGAACATCAACAAATTCTTTTTGGTCCAGTGACTTTGTGTGTTCTTTCCATCTTCT